TTTTGATCAACAGAGGAGGAAAAAAATCACCAGTGACTTTGTAGAAGGTCAACCCTTCAGGTCAACAGCACAACTTCCTGCAATTGATTTTTTGAGCTTGCCAATAAGTTAATGATGGGCCCAGTATGAAGTGGGCACAGAGTACACAAATATGAACAGCACTGCTGTTGGAGAAAGTACTTGCTTTCCATGTTAATTCACTTGTTGGGCTGCTCTTGAACCCTAAATTAAAGTTGGTGGAGGTTTGGCTGTTAGAGAAACAAAGTCGTGTCCAGGCTGGACACTATCTTTCCTTGAAAGTTTTTCTTTTTTTGGTTTTGATACTGAATAACTCAGAACTTTTAACACCTGGTTCACCAGGACTAATAAGCAGCTGCTCCTTGAGAAGTGGAGATATGTGAAGGGCCATGCATTGTGCCCATGAAATGAAATCCTGGTCACTACTTCTGAACAGAGCATGCCACCTGTATAAGAGTTTCGTGGCCTTGGACTTGTGTTTGGGTGTACCTCCAGGGACGGGTCTGACAGCAGTTCAGATGGCTATCGCTAGACCAAGGGATATGTGTCTGGTGTGTCTTGGTTGATCAGATCACATCACTCAGTGCTGCCCATACACAGTGAAGCCCTCAAATGTCTTGTGCCCTTGAAAACCCCATGTGGAAGTAGAGGATCCTCATTTCTCCTGAGGAAAACAGAGCAGCTAACTTATTCATGTTTTCTATTTGCCTTTTTCCCTGCATGTTTTTCTATCCCTCCTGAAGGATGTTTAATAAAAGAATTGTACTAATGGGACTTTCCTCAAGTTTCCTAGTCTGTTTCACTGTTGGGTAGGAGATAATGTCTGAAGCTGAGACCAAGAAACTTCTCTGTGCAGGTGCTAGGAACCAGCTTGTGCTGGGGAGAAAAGAGTGTGTGGTGGTGGGAAATGCTCTACTGCTGATACTAATTTGCTTTCTAACCCATCTTTGAGCATGTCAAGTAAGTGGTGCAGAGGGAATGGCACTCAGTTACAACAGGAATCCCTCAGTGTTGGGTTTTGCAGCCTTCTGCAGCTTTAAAACACTCCTTTTGTATTGTTCAGCTGCTTTGCTGTATCAATGGCTTCAAACTCTTGCTTGTGAGAGGAGTGATTAAGGAGTTTCTGCTTAAGTCATCAGACTTTGATTAGTGATGAATATAACACAGTTTATGTGCATGGTGATTAAAACCATAAATGCCTTCACATGGAAGGCTTTCAAAGTGCTTGTCTTTGCCCACTCAGTTTTGGGTCTGGAGCTGCCTAGCAGTCTCCTGCACAGCACATCCTTTCTTGTGATCTGGGTTTGTGTGCAGACAGCTGAGTATTAAAAAGTGCTTTTGTAATTGAATACAGAATAGTAACTGTAGTTATGGAAAAGAATAGCCAGGTTGGGGACTTTTAGAAGACAGATGATGAAACCTCTCACCACCTTCCTCTTGTATGTTATCGCCTGATATATTAGAAAACCCACCCTAGGAGACTTTTTCTTGAGCATTTTAGCCTGAGACATGTGGAAAGAGTGTTTTCAGTTCCACAGCATTTTGGCTGGTTGGTTTTGTTGTTGTTGCAGTTGCAGTTTTATTACCCCCCTGATCCTGTGTATGGGATGAAAATAAGAAAATCTTTAATGTTTTCTGCAAACTGAAAAACCCCCCCAAAAGTTGGGTCACTACAAGTAGCTCAGTGGGACAGCAGAGGATTCCTTTGGGTTCAAGTCTTGTTTGTCTATTTCTTCCAAACCAAATTAATTAACTTTCTGAAATGAAATGATGTAGTTAAAAAGTAATTTTGGGTTGAACTGAATGGCAAAAATGTGTTAAAAATGGAGGTGCTCCTGGAAAAATAGCCTTTTATTATTATTATTATTTTTTTATGTTTTTAGGGGGTGAACATGTCTGCCCCCCCCAAAAAAAAAAAACCCAAACAAAAACAAAAAACAGAAAAACCCCAACAAAAATCAGAAAACTGAGCTGCCTGACTCCTCCTGGAGATGTTTCTACGTCTCACCTATTTTTCTTCCAAAGTAAACCTTTTCTATGCTTGGATGAGAAAGCTGATTCACCATCTCTGATCATCCCTTTTATGAGGCATTTGCTGCTTTTCTGCCTGGAAATGGCCACACTTTTGTATTGATGGACATACAGACTTTACAGAGCATTTTAGAATGGGCGTCTCTTGCCCTCTGTTACAATAAAATCACTGGGCTAAATTCTCAACTTGAATAAATGTAGTTCAGTTAAAAATACATACTCACCAGCTCCCTGTATGAAAATAGACCACTATAAAAAGTAGACAAGCTTGTATAGAGGATTCTGCTAATGTTAACACATTTTCCAGTGTTCAGAGATATTTGATTCATTTAAAAAAGCCTGGTGTGAATTCACCTGGCAGCATTTCCAATCTTTTTTTTTTTCCCCCTAGATAATTTCTGAATGATAAAATCCATTGTGTGAAATGAGGTTTGTTTTACATTCAGCAACTGCAGATCAGGACCAAAGAGCAGCTTGTTGGAGGACTGGCATGTGGTGAGAGGCAGTGCAGCTTTGCTGGCCAGCAACTGGCACCCACACCTCAAAACACAAGAGAGAACATAGCTTAGGAGAGCCAACTCATAATGGGCCAAGCATTGTTCTGGCCATGTCCTGGGGCTAAAACGGCATGTCAAGTCCAACTGCCCAGATGTACTGGCCATGGGCTCTGCCTGCAGGGTCCTCCCTAATTTGCAGCAGCTCAAACAATAGAATCATATGGCCTGACTGCGGAGCAGTATCTTCTATGGGGATGTTTGTGCTCAGGAGAGAAGCTGATGTCTGGGGTGGCTGCTACCCCACACAGGGGCTCCTTTCCTTCCTGGTGTCTCCTAATTTAGTAGCTGTTACACTCTGAGGAAGGCACTATGCTTTTCTTTGCTCGTAGTAATAATCAGAGATGTTCTGAGATGACAGTTTCAATCTTTCCTACTAAACCCCTAGCCCCACCCTGGATTTTAAAAGGCAAGGTCAATTGAAACTGAAAAAAGGAAACATTTTGTTTCCAAAACACTGAAACAAAATAATTGGTGTTTACCCTCCCTGCTTTTCACTCATTCCTGTGCAACAAAAGCAGTCTGTCAAACTTTGTATCCAGTTGTGAGATGTTTGAGTACACCGCAAGCTGCGCATGGTTTCTTTCTGCAAAATCTAGTGTTGGGAATTGACAAGCGTTCAGTGGAGCAGAAAGGCTTTTTTTTTCCTCAGATCTTCGTTAGATGGACAGCGCGGTGGCTGATGGAGTGCTGATGCTACTGTGCTCAGACACAGAGTCTATGAAAAAATTGTGTTACTGCAAAGGTATTGGCTCAGTCTGCTTGAATGGCGGCAGCTATTTTAGTAAGACCATGACTGTATGAGAAGGGAAATTAGATGATCAATTTTTAAGGTACTATTACCTTGAAATTGCCATTTCCTTTAGAGTTTATATTAGAACAGTTGTATTGCTGTGAGGCCACAGCTTTTATAGTCAAAAAAGTGCAGGAATCTGTGGACCAGGCTTTCACAAGCCAGGTCTTTCTCAGCAGCTTCCTCATTGGGCTTTTCTGTGGCTGGTGATGAGAATGGAGATGGGGAGGAGGCAAAGCCAGCAGCATCCCCAGCCTTGCCTTGGAACTTCATTCCCTTTTTGTGTCTCAGGTTTGAAGTCACTGCATTTGTGTTTTGAGATGTGAAGGCTCTTGTGTTTCTTGAGCCATCTCTCCTCTTTGTAGTCACATCAAGCTCACACTGGAGTTGCACTCTGGGTACCTTTTGCGAGATAAAGTGATGTCTTCTCAGTTGGAAAAGCTAAACCAAAATAAGCTCTCCATTGTCATAGCTGGTGACATTTAGCAAGTCTGCTGCAAGGTGCCAAGTTTCAGATTGCTACTGCAGGAATGTTCACACTTCAGATTTAGATGTTCCAGAAGAGAAATAAGACCTGACATAAATAATCTAATTAAGGAAATAACAACTACTAAAAGACTATGTGAATTGGGCACCTGGAATAATTATACATGCTTTAAACCCTGCAAGGGTGCCTCTCAGGCTCATAAAAGATGTTGGATGCTGCATTACCATTTTCATATCACACCATTCTCTTCCACGGTTTTGCATCATTAGCTGTTGCCAACTGTCCTGAAAGCCCAGCTAAGGCACTGAAATATGAAATGTTTGTGTTGAGAAGAGTTGGGACCAGTCTCAAAGAGAGTAGATTTGCTGGATCACTACCATGTGTTTCTCATTTGAGCTGCCTACAGTTCTTTTTGCAGGGGATAAACATGATATTAAAATGATAAGAAATAGCACAAGCTAATATCCCCACTGAAACACAACCTCTCTTTGGGACAGCAGGAGTTGTCAAAAATCACGTTTTCAATGCTAACACTCCAGTAAGGGGTTAACTGTGCCAGTGATCAGGTGGGTAATTCCCTTTAAAATTACTGTTTTGCCTCACTCCATCCGGTTACTCAAGTTGTTTTGCTACCCCACAGATCTTGCTGTTACTGTCAACAAAATGATTATAGACTGCAACAGCATCAAGATGTTTCACCCACAGGAGTGCTGGAGAAATGTTTATGGTGCAACCTGTTGAAAGCAGTTCTTGATATGTAAATATCAGGAACAATCAGCTTTCCTGTCAACAGAACCTAAACACACAAACACAGGTGCTGAAAATGTCATACACACACCCAAAGAGCTACTTTATCACAGGTCAAGTAAACAGCCAATGTCAGTGTAAGTAATGCTGTGAAAAAGCCATCACAGCTCTTGGCTGGTGATGCCATCCACCATTCCCGATTTGTGAACTGTGATTGGCAGCATGGTCCTTCCTTTGGCATTAATGACTGAGCTGATGCAGAGAGCTGGACAAGGAACGAATTCCTTGTTGTATTGGCATTCCTTGCTTCTTGGTAATAGATGCTATAAAAGAAAAAAGTCTGATGAAACAGGCCAGACCTGAAGGCATATTGAAATCTGGAAGATTTAATTTAATATTTTTATTACATACTTTCGGAGCACTCATTATATCCCCACCCTCCAGGAGTTTATTTACCTATGGAAAATAATACTACTGATTACAAGATTGCAGGTTCATTTTCAGTGCTGAGAACTCTCTTTTCTGCAGCTCAGGTTACACTTGCATGACTTGTAAAGTTTTGTAACGTCTTGAAAATGTTAATGCTACATTGTGGAAAGGTACCTATAGAGGAGCTAGGCAGAGTGCTTGCTTTGCAGTCTTTTTTGTCAGGGAAAATGTTTCTTGGTTTGAATAGGTCTGTAAATGTTTTCTTTGAGAGATTGAATACTGAGTCACAAGGTGCTTACAAGAGCTGCCTTGGGTTTGTCCTTCAGGCTGGGTGCGAAGTGAGAAACTGAGAGAGTTATCTTTAAAACATAAGAAGGAATGCTTTCTACAGGGGAATAAAAAGGTTATGCAGAAATCGTGACTATAGCACATACGAATTTATACTGGCAAGATCCCTGTGGTAAATGTTTGACAGACAGGACAACATTTTAGTCAGAATCTCAGTTTTTCCAATAAATCATTGCACCTGAGCCTTTAAATCATAATTCACGTCAGCCAGCACTGCAAACTGAGTTAAGGTCAGGAGAGATTTCCAGACGCATTATGATGATTATCTAACAATTCAAATAATAAAACCACAGAACTTGATGAGATTTTTGTCAATTCTGATGTCACAGCAACAGAGACTTTTGACTGAAATAATATCGTGAATATTGGATAAGATCCTGCAGTGTTGCTCCTCCATGTTATGATATTATCCAAGGATGAAGGTTATAAATGAGTTGTACTTTTTGCTTTCCAGTGGGTAAAAACAAACACCCCCCCCATAATCAAGTTCCAATACACAACTAGGTACAATATAGCTTTTTCTTTATATATATATCTGTATATATATCAAGTAAAAAAATCTAAAATAGTTGGAAGTAAAAAATGAAAAAATAGCCGATTGTGTTATTTTTTTTTTCTTTACAGTGATATGGTAGCAAATACAAGACAAATGAGTGATAAACCTTTATATAGGAGTTCTGGTCCCACCTCCATCAATAGAGCTCAGACTAGAAAATGGAACAAGGTGATTTTGTGGTTTTCTTTTTTCTTTTCAGCTTCTGTGAGTGACAAAGGTGATGTGGGTAAGACAGGAGGAAATCATAGCAGTCAATGAAATAAAACTCTGAAGTGTTTTCCAAAAGACCTGAAACACTACAGGGTACAAATTACTTCTGACCTGGGGGAGCAAACACAAAACATCACCAAGTCCTACCAAGGCTGAAAATAACATATGCTTATTCTGTCTTCAAAAATACGTCCCTTTTGTGCTGTGTTACCATAAACCCCCTCACTATCAACGCTTCCCCTTTCCCCCTGGAGCCAATAATAAAAAAGCAAAGCCATAAATCAATTGAATGGGCTCAGACAGATGTGAGACCTCAATGATGCACAAAGTGGTTGGCTGCCCTTTGGCCATCAGTGATTTTTTTTCCAGAATCCTTTTACGCTGAAAATACCAATTGACTAAGCTTGGCAAATGGTCACACTGAGCCCTAATTTGGCCATAGAAAAGAAAGAAATACTAGTCTCAGCATAGAACAAGATCATATAGACAGTCAACACAAAACAGTATTTTTTCAGTTGTCTGCATAATAGTAACATGTTTGCATATAGAACAGCATTTGCATTATTGCTCTACTCATAAGAATATAGTAAGGAACTTATACCAGACTTGCACGTTACAAACTTAAGGTTCTTTGGTGAAGAATGAGAAAACAGTGTTTTCATTGTACTTAAATCTCAGAGAAATTTTCCTTTTTATCTGTTGATCCTTTGGATTCTCTCACAGAGGAGGGAAAGGTATTGAGTCAGCTTTACCATCGCGACAATGGCGACCCCACCAATCATCATGCACGTGGGCCAGAAGAGGGAGTGGAACAGCACGTTGTAGCTGTACAGTTTGGTTAGTATCACATTCTTCTGCACGCCTTCAGGGTCGTAGAAGCAGGAGAAGCGTTGGTACTTTCTGAAGTTTTCCATCACGACGTTCACCAGTGACATGGATTCCTCATAATTCTTGCCACATTTGGGTATGTATGAACACTGGGAAGAAATTAGAGGAAGAAAAATGTATTTCCAAACCAGATACAATGTCTCTTTTCAGGTGACAAGCAGGAAAATTTCAAGATGATTATGCTTTTCATAATAGTCTTAATAGAATTGGAATACTATTAAGCCTAATAATAAATTTATCACAGACAAAACAATGTTTTGCGCATCTACAGAATTTCCCATTGGAGAACATCCAAATACTGTACAAACATTAATGCTTTAATCTGCACAGTGGCCTCGTGAGTTAGGTGAATATATTATTATTGCTAATTTACACATGCTAAAATGGAACGGATGAAGTACCTCTTCATCTAAAGTGGCATGCATATGCTTGCAATTAGATGGGTAACTGACTCTCTGTAAATAAAAATCTGGTAGTTTATATCTCACATGGATTGGATCAAAGTGATCATAGAGGGCACAGGAGTTCACTTGCAGAGAAGGCTGATGAGAGACCTTTATACCGATTTCCCCATGGGGGTAATTCCTCAATTAGAGAAAAACAGATAGTTTAGGAGAAAGTACTGTTTTCCTCTTGAAAACCCTTTAGACTTTCATTCAACTTCTAACTGAAGATAAGCCTGGGTACCAGGATGGGTCTTTGTATTGTTTTTGCCCTGGACCCCAGTCTAAATCCAACAATTTGTTTTCTCTGAAGATGCTGCTTGAATTTCAGTCTCAGTCACTGAGAAAAAAAAGGTTTGAGGGTAGCTTTATCTAATACAGTTTCAAACTAGAATTCTCAAAAAATATTAAGGGCAAATTAATATAAAAATAGGCTTATGGAGTCCATGCATTACAGATATTTCATGGGATGTGTAGGTCAGTAGCCTGGGCCTGTGCTGACCATTTCCTATAAAGATCTAGTGTGGGCTTGTGAGGTGATGGGCAGACATGCAATGACGGAGGCCACATCTGCATTTTGACCTAGAGCAGAAAGACCTGAATTTGCTGTTGCTGCTGCTGATCTGGAAAAGGATTGACAGGAGCAGCACCGGGCACCTCACTCTCTCCTCATGTCTAGACATGCCCCTCCACACCTGAAGGGTTTCTACACCTGTACAGGGTTTTGATTGACTGCTTCAGGAGGGGTGGAAATCTGCTGCTTAACTACTTGAATGTGCATGGGGAGACCCAGCAGGTCATGGCTCCCTTGCAGTTACGGGGTGATTGTGGGTCCCACCATGCTCCTTGCCCGCACTGCTTGTCCTTGGTGAGCACCTAAAGTAGCTCCAAATAATTAAATGAAAGTGAGCTTTGCAAAGGAAAAAAGATGTTTTGATTGAAATAATGTGACCCATGGCTTTTGATTATTACTGGCTTAATGGGCATACTTTATAAAAGCCCCACTGTTCTTTTTCATGACTACACTGACTTTTTTTGTAATGTACTGTGACATATCTCTAGTCCTAATAATGATCAAAGGATTAACCTCGTAACAGGATTTGATTGATTCATTGGCAAGTTTATTAGCACAGAATATGATTTGAAGCACAGCAGAAAGATTGGTGTTAGCAGAGCGGAGCTATAAGGGTAGAGCATGGCGGCATTGCCATTATGAATATTTCATGGAGCTCCAAAAATTATAGATGGAAAATATCAGTGGTAGTATTTCATTCATCTTCTTTCTTGTGCAGGCCTGCTCCAGGATATTCTCTTGTACTCTGCCCATCTTTGTCTTAAATGCCTAAAACCACAGCCCTCTTCCAGTGCCTATGACTCTAATAGATCATAGTCTAATAAGTAGGGGAAATTTCTCAGTGAAGAGTACCTCATTCTTTTACTATATTTTGTGCTATCACTGTCTAACAGCAGTGTTTTCAGCTCAGATTTCTTTTCCCCTGCCTTTTTTTTTTTCCCCTCTTGCAAACTTGGTGCTACACACTTTTGTTTCTTGAAGTCCCATGAAATATTCTGCGGGAAGGGATTAAATTAGGACTTGGTAACTCTTTCCAAAGTCCAGCCCTTCTCTTTTGACAGAAAGCAGCAGGCATGTAAAAGTCCAGATGATGACAGATTGTTGGATTCAAGGACTGTGGAAATGTCCCAGGAGTGCAGTGGGGGGAGGTCCGACTTCTTGCAAGTCTGAATATAGTCCAAGCATTTTCAAAGGAAACCTGATGCTCAAGCAGAACTTCAGCTGTTGCCTTCTACACCTGATGGCACAGAGCCACCAGCCATATTGAGCTGGGTGGGCTGCTCATGACATGAGGGTCTGAGAGAGTGAATCTCCCAGAAGTACAGTTGTGCAGGGAGAGGTTTCTGAGCCAGCCTTTTTGTGCTGAAACCATCTCTCTCTCCTGGCTATGGTCTTAAAGCCATGGGTGCCCTTTACTCCACACACCAGCTGACTTGTTCCAGTTCTTCTGAGCTCTGGGAGGCATCTTGGTCTCAGCTTCAAGGAACTCCTTTGCACAAGGACTTTCTGTGTGCATTAAGTTATAATTATAGGGTGCTTCTGACCTACTTCCGTACTTTGGCTTCCCCACTGAGATCCCAGGGATAATACAGGGCTGACTGCCATGCTGGTGACTGCTGTGTTGCGCAGGTCATTGGCAAACATGTATGGAGGTGTGGATAATGGGATGTCTTTGTTTTCTTTGGTTTGGTCTTCATTTAGTTCAATGTCTGTCAGGGAATTTTAGATCTGCAATTGTTACACTGTACCTGTGAACCTAGACTACTAAATCTGCTGTTTTATCACAATGTCTGCATTGTCAAACACTTGGAAATCTGCAAATCTGAAAGTAAATAATGACTGGTCCTCTACCTCAAGTGAGGATTCTGTGATACAAAATGAGAAAAGAGGTTCTTGTGTTACTTGCAACCTGATCACAAGAAGGATGTACTAGACAGTTATAGAGAGACCTTATTTTTATGACAGTTATACAGAGACCTTACTTTTATGTTTCCAGCTCTACTTTCCTTTTTTAAAGGGTTGGATAGGTAGCCTGTATGAACTGATGTGTCCAGTGCAATGCCCTGCATAGTACAGAGTTGCTCAGGACTTGTCCAGTCAAGTTACAAGTATCTCCAAGGATAGAGATCACACAGCATCTCCAGACAAGCTGGGGGCAGTTTCATTTAAGTCAATGACTGACTGGGTAGTGAAAGACATGACTCTTGTCATATGTCTGCCACTGGAGTTTGTGTCCATGCTGAGCCTGGGAAAAATACATGCTGTGGCAATCTTTGCAAGAATTGTGGCATCAATTTACGTCTCTTCTGAAAAGGGTAACAGGTTTGAACAGGGGGCTGAAGGAGGAGCCTTTTGTCTGAGCTGGTCTGATACTGATTCCTGCAGACTGAATTCTCTGGTCCCAGCCCAGAAATGGTTGTGCTGGGAACAGCAGCTGAATATTGTGACTTCCCTGCACCAGGCAAATTACCCCTCTGTTATAAACACCTGAACCTTCAGTAGGAGACCACGACATCCCCCATAATTTTTGAATCTCAAGCAGTTAAAGCTGGCATAACAGTGATTCTGGTGATTCAGTCCTGCTTGTTACCTCACTTATGGAGCATGTGTTATAAATTAACAGTAGCTCAAATGATAAAAAAAGTATAGCACAATAATAATATAATAAAAATGATATAGCATAGGATTTAAGTGGGGCCTCTATCATTGTTTTAACTATCTTAGCCATTCCTCAGGGTGACAGCCTGGCTCTGTGGTTTGGGCATGAGGGGACAGCATCCAATTTTCTTGCAGAGGCTTTTACAGCCTCTGACAGCTGAGGAAGGAAAGTGTATCTGTGAAAGCATTTAAGTTGCAATAGCTGTAGCATTGACAAGGAGCTTGGCTTCTTCTGAAGGCTGGAAATAAAGTATGCATGGTGAGAGCAACGAAAAGCCATGAAAAATCCCATGTGCTTTCCTGGGAAACACTTGAGTAGTTCAACTGGTATCCACTTACTTAGCAGTGATTCTCACCAGACATGGGCAGCAGCACTCTGTAGATAAATTTCACCTATTCCTTGCTATACCTTATTAGCTTAGACAGCAAGTCTCCCAGTTTAATCATTATTTAGTGTCAAAGTGCATTTTGCTCTATCTGTGCTACCTGGTGGGGACAGGGGAATGATGGGCTCCAGATGTTGCTCTGCATGTGTGGTGGTGCTCAGTAAGGCAGAGGTTGGTGGGGGGATGCTGACCTTCTGAAGGTCACTGGTGTTGGCCTCGGAGGGTAAGCACTGTGTTCTGCAGTCTCCCCGCTACTGTCACAGCTCAGTGAGACAGGGACAGCTACTATTTTGTTTATTTGGCAAGAACAAAGATAGGAAACACGGGCCTGAGTAGGTGGATAGGAAGAGACGGCTAGCATCCAGCTGGAGTGCTCAAGGCTGTTCTTCCAGCTGCATGGAGCTGCTTTCCAGCTGGGGGAGAGGGAGCACCCCTCCAGAAGCTGAGATGGGTTGGTGCTGGTCTGGGCTTGGAGTCTCTGCTGATGCCAGCTAGGCACAAGAAGCAAGGTATTTTATAGGCACTGCAAACTTCGATTCAAAGCTGCATTTGGATTCAGGTCACATAGCCAGCACCATGTCAGGAAAACCTAGGAATCCTCCTGAGAGCAGAGTTTAACTTGTAAAACAACCTTGGGCTGGAGAAGCATTAACTATGCCTACATTAAATTAAGAGGAGGCGGCATGTGGGAGAATTTCAAAGTCCATTTCAGCAAGTAAAAGTCATCAATAAAAGAATGTGGAGATTTATTTGAATCCAGTGGAGCAGAGAGACCGATTTGATCTGTTTTAATCAAACTGTCGCATGAGCGTTGCTGGATTTTGCTTCTGCCCCAGCAGAACGCTGGGTCTGTACTGCCACAGGCTTAACAAACATGGCAAGTGCCTCCTTTCTGCACTGATGTTGATCTGGAGGAGAAGGTGGGGGCACTGTTCCCCATTTCACACTTCAGATCCATAGAGCTTTTTCTCTCAGCCACAGGAGCTAATTATCTATCAGTATAACTGGCCCAGTGCAACCATGCCATGCTTTGACTGATTTTAATAACACTTCATCTTAATATGCAGAAGTAATTTGGTCTACTGAAATGCTGCCATAAATAGAAACACAATAGGTTACATTGTCAGTAGCTTGAACCGAGGCTCTGCTGTGACAGGCTGTGCTTTGCCAAGCACCCATATTTGGACGTTCAATGACCTTGGATAACTAAGTAGTTAATGCAAATCTAGTACTTGTAAGTCAAATGACTTAGCTGCGTCCAGGCTCACTGCAGTTTGCAGTCTTAGGTACCCAGGTGCTGTATATATGAAGGTAGGAAGGTGGGGAGAGGGATATTTCTTAGTCTGATCCTGCCGTGCTGCATGGAGAGAGCAAACACCCTCCCTGGCCACCACCACTCCCTAACAAAGAGGCGGTTGCTTGCCTGGTTTGATACACAGCATTGCATCAGCTGCACAGCTGTGGGTGTGGGCTGGAAGGGAGATGCATTCTGTGCATCTGCTGTGTTCATTATAGCCTCCAGACAGGAGCTGTCTCCATCCCACTTGGATGGAGTTATAATGGATTTTGTATTTGCTGAAGGAGACAGAGGAATTCTTCTTCAGATCTGTTAAAAATACTTTCTGTTTGTTTGTTTAATGTCTGGAATCAGGGGAGTTGTATGAGAAATATGGGCTGACTCCCTGGCTTATACATGCCCCAAAGCTGGGCCTTTTCATTTTATGCTGCTGCTTTTATCTTGATAGTCTCTGCTCAGCACATTTTTGGCATCTTTGCACCATCTACAGGGCTAAATGGTCTGCCTTGACCCCAGTGGCACAGCTGACCTCAGAGGAGATGCTCAGGATGCAGAATTTGTCACCAGATATTGAAACAGAGACACATCTGCTGCTAGACACAAGGCTCGCGTCTCTCCCTGTTGCCTTGCCTGGCCCAGTAGTAACAAGGCCATTTCCATTCTCACCCCTGTGGATGTTCTGTGCATATTACTAGGTGTGTTCACTATCATGCATTCATATCCTGGTGGTAAGTGACTTGTCCACAGCTCCACAAGAATATCAATGTGACATGTGCTCAGCGCTAGCTTGCAACTGTAAAACACTTGCAAAGGATGAGGAAGACTCCAGCCCTCAGGGGATATTGCCCCGTGAAGGAAGAGCTCATCCTCCTGTTTAGGATAGAGGTGGAAATCTGCCCCCTCCAGAGATGTGAGCTCAGTCTGTGCACTGACTTCTGCGTTCTCTGCTCTGTATTTACCAGTGAAGCAGGAGCTGGAAGGCTGATATTGCTTTAAAGCGAAGAATGCGTAAAACAAGGTGAGCAACCCTCTGGAAACCCATTTAGGAAGAAATTTTATTCTGTACTCCTACCTCAGAATTAATTTTCATTGTTTCCTCGGTGTGGTAGAGCAGAAGCTTCTGGCCGGAAGAGGTGAGATTGACATACACCTGGAGGCACGGGTACTGGGAAATTTTCCAGCAGTCTGGACCACAGCTAAATGAGCAGTTGAAGGTTTCTGTGATGGATGCATTGAGAAGCGAGCACTGAGCCTCTTCTGTCCAGACACTAAGTAGGAAAAAAAGACACGTTAGAGCATGGCAAGAATGGGCAATAAGCACAAAATGCAGGTCAGGCTTTCCATCAGGGATATACCAAGCGGTGTCTTGTAGGAGACAGTACGTGTTGCAGGGCTTTGAGTGAAGGTTGGACTTTCACACATCACACATCACAGACTGTATTATTCTGTACCTGAAGTTTGTGCTTTGGGAACAAAATTACGCGACTCACTTATGTCTATGTATAAATGAAAAGGGCAAAGGAACTTTTAGTCTGGAGAATGTATATTTGAAACCAAATGGAACCAGCAGAGATATCAGAGAAGAAAACTGAGCAGCCTGCCATGGTGAAGAGTAAAGTGCATGCAGTGCTGCATGACAGGACACCCTGGACCAAGACATAATGGTTAAACAACGAACCTCATTCAGTTTAAAGTGAAGGCTGGGACAACAACTTTGACTTACCAGGGTACACATACCGATATGCATAAAGGCACAGTAACACATAAGTGGTTCTGCATGCAGCTGTCCCTGTGGAAAGACTTTTTCTAGTGGCACTTTGCTTGTTTTTCCGTAAGTTAAGTCAGCTGTTGAAATTGTTCTATCTCAAATTTACCAGAGGCTAAAACTGAATGACAGAGCCTTGGTGTGCACTGGCAGTGTTCACCTGGGTTTCTTGCATGCATTTAAATACCTATGGCTGAATTTTCCTTGGGGATGAGAGCCATGGGAAGGGCACACTGAGGGTTCTGTGAAGAAAACCTTTCATGGTCTGGGGGAAGGTTTCAGTCCCACTTAGCACCTCAGCTTACACTCAGCATGGTTGTCCTGCTCATTATAAATGGGCTAGGGGTCTGCTTGTCCCTTGACAAACCTACGAAAGGCTTTACATGATATGTAATATCAAAGATTTATGACAAATTCTCCTGCTATGTTACTTTGGCAGTTATTCTCCTTGTATTTTCAGTTTTACATTTAAATTATGCTACAATTTGTGGGGGAAAATCAAATGAAAAGTTTATTTGCTTATTTTTTTCCTGCAAGTCAGTATTATTTGAAGCGGTGCTGCTGTCTGTAAAGGAGAATAATCCCTAAGGAGATCTGACTGTGTGAAGAGAAGTGATAGCAAAGACTCCTAGGTTGTCTTCTTCTCACTTTCACCTTTCTGACTATTGCTTCATTCATGCATGGGGGTAATAAAGTAACATCTACCTGCAACAGACTTGTGAAGGTGGAATATTTGATACTTCATAGGTGCTTTTGGCAATTTTTCATATAGTTTGCAATATAAGTCATATCTTTCCACATGAGCAATTTTGACCTTAACAGCCTTTGCAATTGACCCTGATATTGCTGAAAGGTAGGGGAGAACAAGTTGGAAAAGCAAATGCTCTTGGATACTTAACAGTTCTTGGTCTCTGTTTTCAACTTAACTTTACTTGGATTTAAAAAAGAACAAATACCTTTATCATACAAATAAGGTACTGCAGATCAGTGCTCTTCACCCTCAGGCATGACTACATTTTCCTTATCATTGCAAGGTCAAGAAGGGATATTTCCCTGCAGTTGCACTGGTATAATTGAGGACATTCATACCGGTTAACTGGTATGCCCTTATTGTACATGCCTAAAGAAGAAGCCAATGGTGGGTAAGCCAAAACATGCCAAGTACTGGCTACTGCCTCAGGGTGGTTTTAACATGACAGACTGATGTTTTGATCCCTAGTTACACATCCAGTCATCAGGGTGGAAAAAGCACTGCTGACAGTCTTGTTACAGTCTGGGCTGGAGTTTTAATAGGGCTGGTGCTTATGAACTGATTTCAAATGCTAATGAATCCCAGGTCAAATTTTCTGCTTCATGGCAGAGAAGGAAGCCAGAGATGGCCTCAGAAAAATTAAGTGCAGTGCAGTAATGATGAAAGATGATCTTTCACTTTCAGCAAAATGCTATATTTCAGGAAGATTTCACTTGTTAAAATGAAAGTAATAGCCTACATGGAAAGCTACATGCATGCATACATACAGAGCAGCTTGATTTCTTTCCCAAATTAATTCTCCATTCTTCATTTGTAAATCTGTAGTTTCTTGAGGCCACTAACTATTTCTGCTGTTTTCTCCTGAATCCAGGCTTTGCAGCATCACCCCCGAGAGGCTTACAGAGTTCAGCTGACTGCCTGATATGGGTATTATACTAGTGTTGAACTGTGGCAGGTTTAAAGCCTATGGATCAAGGTTTTGTCAAACAGGGAACTAATTCTTCCCTTACTTGCACTGGTATTACCCAACATGCTTTCTGTGTAAGTATACCTAGTTTATACTGGGGTAAGGAAATGCAGGATCAGGCCTATGCTGACCAAAGTAAAAAAAACCAAAACCCAACTTTAAGAAAAAGAGTTGAAAGAATAAGGCACATGAAGGGAGATCAGGGTAAACCATCATGAAATTACCTTTGCATGTAAGACCGCAGCAGGGTGATTCCCAGGAGAAAGTACATCATGACAGAGCACACCATCATGGCCAGCCCGAGGAGTATGGCCCGGTCTTCTCCAGCTTTTAGGGCTGTAACTGTTTTCCTTTTGTCCAGTAGATCGTGATCCCTGATTTTTTGGTAAATATTTCTGAGATTGAAAATAATACATTCTTATGTGAAGTTCATATCTAATCAAATAAGTTTTTACAGGGTGGGTAATTCCACCTCCATACCCATCTTGTGGGAGAGAAAGGCTTAAGGGTCCTCAGGTGTCCTTTTTCATTGGATTCATTCTGACCTGGTGGAAACTTATTCATCTCCAAAATAAATTACAGCCATTTCTGAAAAGGTAAAAACCTCTTATAGCAAATATAAAGATTAGACACTTGTGCCAGCTCAGTAAATCCTTCTTTGGTACAGCTTCATTGGCTCAGTTGAATTATATGATAGCTGAATTTGACCTGTCAATGCCATCTGAGGCTGCTAGAAGTTTAGGTATATGAGGTGTCTTTTCTTCAGTTCAGGTCTTATGTTTCCATACGTAGAAATCAGCCTGAAGAAAAGCATCACTAAAATTATCTGAAAGGACCACATTCTATTTCCATTCCCCACAGGCTAGTGGTTTAGGCGATTTTCTGCCCTGAGTGTGACTCAAAGCACATGAAACACTATGGGGATTTTGCAATTGATTTCTGTGGGGTTTTTGATTGAGAGCTTATTTACTTTATTTGTAAAATAGCTTTTTGGAAGCCCAGTTACTCATTACAGTGAAAACCCTCGCAGAAAATTATTCACCAGAGCTATTTGTTCTGGGATTTAAAAAAAAAAAAAAAAAGAAGGAAGATACAACAAACCATTCCCCCTTCAGCAGAGAGTCCTTTGCATTTTCTAACCATAAGTCCTTCTTTCATCTCTGAGCCTTTGATGATTCAATGAGTCATGAGGACACAATAGTGAAGAAGGAAATATTTGAGTACATTTCAAACACACTCAAACTTTGTGAGTTTAAAATGTACTTACAGACCTGAGGCTGGTCAAAATCTCCTGTGTTTTCTGCTACAGTTCTTTTGAATCATCCAGGCAGCACCCGAAGCATGTGAACCGCACACCTCTGAGCCCTGGCACCACCATAACATGGGCATAGTAGTACACGTGGAGGAAGTTCCTCTTCTACTGTCTGCAAAATGGCAGGTGAGCAACATCAACATCACTTTGGGCTCTAGCAAACTCACCACTCATTTTTGCTGAAACCACCAAGTTTTACTCAGCCTTGGAAATAAGCACAATGTCAGACCAAACGTATAGCTTACATTCACTAATAGGGACAAAGAAATGGAGTTAAGGCAGATGTAAAACCAGACATGAACAGAGTAGAAACAAGAAAATAGGTTTAATCATAAAATCCCTGAAATTGAAATTTGATATGTATTTAGGTGATGAGTCATATTCAGGAAAAGCACATATGGTGTGGGGTTTTGTAGCAAAAATCTTGCTTAGATGATACTGTTGTCAGTAGTTTCCTATAACTAAGACCCCTGAAGGTTTCTTCATCCAACTGTAATTCACATCTTTAGATGCCCATGCTTTCTTTTCAAAACCATCCTTTAAATCTTGTCAGTGTTTTCCTAGTTGGAAATGAAATGGTAATTCAGCATGTCAAAATTTTCTCTGGTGTTGGTGAGAAAAGATATATTGTGAACTGGCAGATGCAATTGCCTTCAAAGAAGTAATGTAGAGTAATAGTCTGATGCTACTTTTCTATTATTATTTATCAAACTGTATTTAACTCTGAGAGCTGCTCTTAGGATTTGCATTGCTCCCAAATGGAAGCAGGCAGGAAGGCAGAGATTGTCGTGCAGTTCCAGCACATTAACCGATCACACAGCATAACTTATGTCAGCATGTAGACATAAAGCAGACGCAGTACAATCGCTCACTAATGTCATCAGAACAGCTAGGACATAAAAGGGATACAAATGGACAATTTAAAAACAAACGTCTAATTGAGAATGGTTACAAATATTTCCCATGTGGCCTTGAGCCAAGAAACATGAAGTGAGAGGTAAAAAAAGGATGGGTTGAAGGGTGTGGTGTAGAAATCATCTAACTGGCAGGCTTCTGGCAAAAGGGATAGTATGGGGTGACCACCCGCCAGGTGGATATCGCACCTGCCATATAGTAAATAAAGCTAAATAAAGCTCTGCCTTAGAGATCATGCTTGGAGCAGTCATTCAGTTGTTCTTCTACAAATATTTGTTATTCAAAGCCCTGAACATCAAGAAAAGTGGTAGCTTGGTGCCCCTGAGGCCTTTCTCCTGAATCCCTTCAATGGGGTAACACATGCTGAGACACGCGGTGTTCTGGCACATGCCAGAGTGTGATGCATCTAACAGAGCAGCTTCGGAGTCTCCTTATCTGGAGTGGCAGTGGGGGCCTGCACAGGTGTGTGTGTTGCTCCTGGGAGGGGGGGGGATTCCGTGTATGTCTGAACTTTTGACACAGCCCAGGGTCCTCTTTCTGCTTGGTGAGCTGGAAGAGTGCCATGCTTAGCTGGCTGATTTTGGATCCCAGGGCTGCACAGGCACAATTAGCTGACTGCTGCAGTATGCTTAAGTACAGATCGCTGCATCCCAGACACTACTCATCTAGGTGACTCCATCTAAGAGTTGCAATTACCTGTGATAACTTTGCAAATATGACACTGAGGGGGGCTGTTTGTTTTTAAAGAAGTCCCAGCTGTCAGAACATGGGGTCTTTCCACCTGTGCAAAGACATTTAATAGAAGACAAGCCTCCAAGGACAAAAGGTCTTTGCTCCCTTGATTGTTTCCAAAATGAAATTCTCTCCTGCTGAATCTCCATGTTGCTTTTGCCAAACTGCTCAGAGGATATGGGCTGTCTGCTCTATCCCGGATCGGCTGCCAGAAAGGAAACATGGACGTGACTGTGCCTGCTGGGCACACAGCAGAGATTTCCCTCTCCATACCTCTGCACAGCAGCAGCATGGGGATCCCTCTGCAATGTGATCTCCAGAGGAGGGCTTAGGGAGGACCTATGTGATGAAATTAGACAGCCCAGGTTCTGTTAACCTCAATGTGAAACAGCCAAGGAGAGTTACTATGCTGACCTGAGCCTACCAGCCTTAATAAATAAGTTCCGCATCTTCTGTAGGGTTGCCCATATTTGCTGAAGCCAAGAGCTTTATTTACCATCATGAGGTACATGATCTTTTAGCACTCACTCACTGGAAGGATGAGGCAATCTAACTTGCTCTGGCCTCTGCTGACACAAGAGAGCTTTGTAGCTCAGGGAATGTGATTCATTTATAGGCATGTATTAGGAATGGTCCTGTATGCAAAGAGTTTGCAACTGGGCACAGCCACATAGAGCAGGAGAGGCTAAAGTAATCTTCTGACCCAGCACAACAATTCTTATTTTGTTCCAAAATGGGTAGATCTAGGGGCTCTGCAAAGAGGTTCAGTTTCCAGGCACCTTAAATTACTTTTTTCTTTAAATAAACACAAATTACCCTCAAATTCTTTCCCTTGCAAATGGACCATGGTGTGGCACTGAGGGAGATGCTGCCTCCTCCAGCAACTGCACAGTAATGGGGTTTGTCTGATGGGGATACCAGCTGGCCTGAATTATTTAGAGTGACTTTGAACTGGCATTCACTTCTCTGATATCGCAGTTGTTATACAGATGTCACTCAAATTACCTCATGCTGAGGTGTTTACTGATATTGGAAAATTCAATTAAAGAGGAAACTTGAAGAAGTACAGGAGGCAGTCAGATAACCAGCTCCAAATGGAAGTTCACGGAAACCTGCTGCCAAGCTGGTCTTGCTTCAAAATATGTTTGGGATTGAATTATCAAAGGAGCTGAGCACCTCTGCTGCTTTTGCAGAAAACGTTCAGCAAATGGGACAATTCTCCAAAGAAATTTGGCATCCTGAGGGCAGCCCTGCTGCCTGAACTCATGACAGCATTTTCCCAAGGAGGTGCCAGCAGTAATGTCTCATCAGAATATCTGAAGAGTGTGTTTTACTAATTGTCACTGTAGATACATAGAGGTCTGTTTCTGTTTCACTGGAATTTGATATTTTGTGATTATGTTTGATAGTGACTGCAAGAGGAACTGAAGGAGAGGAGGCAAGGGAGGGAAGGGGGAAAGGAAAGAAAAGAAAGGGAAATGTGTCCGGTTGTGACAAGACAAGCTGTCCAGCAAATCTCACTACAAAGGAGAGAGATTTTGGAAGGATGAGTCTGAGCATTGCTGACAATTATTCTTTCATCAATGATATTTAATTTCTTTCATTCCCAACTGAGTGCTTCCTTTATCTGCAGACTTAAAACCTCTCTTTCCCTTTCCTCTATTCCCTGCTCCCCTGGGAGATCCAGTAACTCATTTAGTCTTCTGTCTCCTTCACCCTATTCCCTCCAGCTACACCATGTAAGTGAGCTGATGGCTACCAGCTCATTCTTAGGCTACTTCTCATCCCCCAACTATTGTGCAATGTACTGCATACATGCTTGTCCTCACACATGCACACATACAAAGAGAAAGCATTTCTGACAGCTGGGTACATCATCCAGATGTGTAAAACTTAGGTAGGGCGACGAATCGGCAGGGGGGACACAAGGCAGCGTGTGTGTGTGTTTGTGTGTGTGTGTGTGTGTAGGAAGAGAAGGCAGTCATGTGGGCAGGAAGCAGGACACTTGCAAAAGGCATAAAGGCTTCACAGGCATTGGAGCCGGGGTTGCAAATCTGTGCTAGTGATTAGTGTGCTTTTAAATGTGAAGTGTGTCTGTATTGACCTCAAAGATGGTCAGTGTGCTGCTGAAGAAGGAAGACTTTGGCCATGGCTCTGGCATTGTCCCTCCACTCTGTTTTGGCTTGGCATGTTAACCCTGGTACTCATTGGCTGGTCCTCTTGTCAGTGGAGCACTAGCTGGGAGGTGAAAGGCAAAGAGAGGACACCCTTTGTATCCTTCCTCCTTCTCTAGAGCCACCACTGAAGTGAAGCTACAGGCCACATTCCTAAAGATTCAAACCTGTAAGAGACAATCAGCATAGATGCTGTTTACCTTTTCTCATCATGTCTGTAAGATGTAGAGCTCCGGCCACTGGTCCAAATAAACATTTTAGAGGATTGCCCAGTGTTGGCTTTGCTTGCTGCAGTGGGACGATGGAAGGACCTGGGGGAAGAGGGACAATTTTTGTCACTGCCCATCCAACGTGGCAGACCATATTACATCCAGTGTGCCAAATCCACTGTGGCTGTGCCCAGTGAACCCTGAAGATGTATCTTTTCTTAACTCAAGGTGAGATGTAAAATAATGGGAATGACAGACCAGTGTGTGTGAACGAAGGACAGATCTCATTAGCTCCACTGGGAAAATGGGATGCTGGCTAATCAGGCTTAGCTATGCTCCACACTGCAAAGGATTTCCACCATGCACCAGAAATATTTGGTAGTTTAAAAAAAGTTAATAGCTGCAGCCAGTGTTCTTATGGCAACATTTTTGGGGGACAACGTGGTTATTGTTTAAACACATACATGTTCATTGCAATCAATTGGTTGTACTGCAGTTCTAAGTAAGGTGAGGTTCTCCAGGAAGGTGTCTGAATGAGGCACAAGTATGAGGCATAAATGCAATATTCTTTGGAAGTGTATCTGATGTGACAAAGATATCTTTTCCCACAGAGAAATTGCTGTTCTGGGGGCATTTGGCCAGACCAGTTAGATTTCTGCCCTGGGGCTTCTTTGTTTCACAGCAGCATATGAGGGCTGCTACCTTCTCTCAGGCTCTTCTAGTGAGGCTACAGCTCCCCTTGTAGCTCCTCCTAATCTGCTGCTGAGTTTAGTGAGGCTCAGCTAAAATCTCAGTCCCTGAGAACTGAACCCTTCCTGACGGGGGCTGTATTTTGTATTACTTCATGGCACAGCACTTTGTGCTTTTACTGCATTCAGGGAAAAAGTTAAGAAAAATAACAAATATTCCAGACACCAAATACTTCAGTGTTGAAGCTTTTCATACACTGAGTTCTTCATCTCACTGAAAACTAAACTTGACTGTTGATGCTGTCAGCAGAGAAGGCACATCAATTCCCCAGTGCTCCTTGTCTGAAAAGTCTGTAATGTCACTATCTACATAATCGTACAAAGGGCTAATTTAAATATTTGAATAGTGGTGATCTTGGGAGGATATTTAAATCCTGTAGAGATGGCTGGGGGGAAGACTGATGTGGATGGGAGCTAAAATCCATCTGTACGCAGACAGGCTGATGGGTGCCAAGGGACTGGCCTTTCCATCTAGAGTCAGCCCAGAGCCCCACTGTGAAGCAGACCGAGGTAAAGCTCACACCTCAGCTGGGCAGCTGGGTGGGCAAACTGGCCAAGCTGGTCACCCTGTCACCTCCTCCTTTCTGGGATCCTGTTGCCATGCTCAGAGATGCTGGCCCGGGACTGGGACTTGCAGGTTGGAACCTTGCTCGAGGTAGTATTTCACAAAACTTTTGTGCTTTCATGCACAGCAAATTGGACAAGAAAGAGGTCCAAAAAAAGAGACAAAGAAGCAGTGGAATCTCCCTCAGCCCTTTCCCTCACTCCGTAGTCATCACTGCAGCTCTGAGAGCCAAAAAGTCACTTTCCTTACAACTGCTCTAGTTAAGTATTGGGGAATAAACAAGATGAAGCTCTTCCTTCCTGAAATAACTATAGTTTAGAAGGTGAAATAGCATCTGCCAGGGTCTGAGAAGTGTCTTATAGTGATAATGGACAGAAATTTGTGTTGCAGGATCTTGGGTCTAATCCTTACTCTGGTGTGTGAGATTGCACTCACTACCTCAGACAGCACAACAGGACCACTGAGCCTGTACTGAACGAGCTGGTTTTTCTGCAGGGAGCAATGCAGAAGGGCTCAGAACAACTGCCTGAGGCCTAGAGGCCACATCTGATACTGGGCTGAGACCTGTCCCAGGCTGAGTCCTTTAATGCTGGAAAATAATATTACATATTTGCCACTGCACCCTTTAGGACTTCACACATGAGCTGCGTGACAGGAAAGCCTGGCTGGCTGTGCTACCGCAGCCTGCGTGGTCCCAGAGCCATCAGGAGAAGGTGGCAAATGCTATCAGAGAGTCTGTTGTTAATTAAGCAAAACTTGGGCACACATTAGAGGTGATCAGCAGCTTCTGCTGCTGTTTAAGTCTACAGGGGCACCTGGACAGGACTGCCTGGGCAGGGAGGTGGATTTGCAAGCTCCAGAGCAAATTACAGGAGCACTGCTGGGGCAGTAAGTGGGTGAGAAGGGTCTGTCCCATGAGGGGATGCCGGAGTAGGAAAAGGGGTATTTCTCTTCCCACCAAATCAAAGAGTGATTTGAGACCAGTGTCAGTGCCCTGAAGCAGTCCATATGTGACAGCATTAATGCTACCAGCTTTATTAATGGGGCAATCCAAGCTGTCACTATTTAACACATAATCTCACATTAAATTATGTGTAAAATTGTAATATTGATGACATTAACGCTGCCACTCCCGAGGTCAGACATAAATTACTAAAATCAGTGGTTCCTTTAGATGGGGGTTAACTGTGAGGTAAGAGCCTTTTGTGGAACAGTAACAATACAGATTCCCCAAGACCTTTCTTTGAAGGCTGTTGGAGGACTTGTAACCTAGAACAGTTGCAACCTACATGACTAGGTATTGCCCCACCAGGTCAGGTAGCAAACTTCCATACCTTTCTTCTCTCCCGACTTAATCCCAAAGGAGGGCTTTGGAGTCCATTCCTTCCCTGTCCCCTCTCTCATTTCTGGGAAAACAAATAGAGCTACTTTTCTTTGTTTTGCCTGTTGCCTCTCTGAGTCAGCTGCTGGCAACTAATTTTTATCACGCAACAAGTAATCAGCCTATGAAACAAACTAATGCAGGTTGTCAGCCTAGCATTTAGAGTGGAAGTAGATTGTGCCATTGCTGGAACAGATGGAGCACCTAAAGTCATGACAATACCTGTTAAATCAGTTTAGAAGAGGTGCTTCAAGCTGCTTTTTGACTCCCAGGAGTCTGTGGGTGTTATTCCCATACAGCAGGTTACCAGGAAACTGCTGTATTTGATGTGACTTTTGCTAGAGTCAGCATGCTGTGTTGAACTCTGGGCTTCCTGCTTGACTTTGTGTGAACAATCCTGTCTCCTTCATTATTTACCCAGTGTGGCATCAACACTGTTGTCTCTTGGTGTGGTTTCCACAGATACAGGGAAGGAGACCTGCCTTTGGTTTTTACAAAACATGCCTCATTCTTTGCATTTACATCTGCTCCGAATAAATGCACAATGTTTAAGAGAGAAATGCCAAGTAAAAAGTGTACACTCTCCTGTGTACGCCTACACCTAGGGCACTTCATCGTTTCATACTGGCTGAGAAGCAGCTTTAAGGGTCCACGATGTTGATACAGTGGGTCTACCCAGGGCTGACACACTCCTCCTATCTTCCCCCATTCTCATCCTCCTCTTGAACATTATCTTCTGGTGAATTTTAAGTAACTCACTGGAAAACCTGACAAGGCTTCCACTTTTCCAACCATTGCAGAATGAAGACTCAAGATAGCTCCTATAAGATTAGAACTACCTTGCCCTGTCCAAAAGAATGTCAACACATCCACCCAACAGCAACTGCCTGCGAGAAGACTGCAGTGTGAAGAAAACATGAGGGGGTGACGTTTGCTTAGAGTTTTAGGCTGAATATTAAAATCCCTTAGTTGGTACTCTGAGAGGTATATTATGTGCTTTGTAGTTCTCAGTTTCACTCTGGGCTGGCTGCTTTCCTTCCTCAGGCTTTGGTTTATGTCATGACTGGTATTAAATGTCCCTGACCTCTAGGTTACCACATCTGTGAACAGCCAAAGAGAGTATTGCAGACCATGTTTTTAGATGGATAGTTGGGTTTTATATGTGTATTTATTTGTAGTTGTCTCTATCTATGTTTATGTTAATCATAGGGTTTTTGAGACCTAGGAGAATCATTTATGGCACCAAACTAATGAGCTTTGCTCCCCTTATGGCATTTCTTTTCCTGGGCAATGTGGTCCCTTGTAAAAAGGGAAGCACTTGCATTAATTTTGCATTATAAAAGGCAACCTGAGTCATCAAAAGCCAGCAAGAGCTAAAGAATTACCTAAAGATATGATCATTGACCTCTTAAGCTTTGTCTGAACACACACACACACACACACACACACACACACACACACACATCCTACATTGTTCATGCTGTCAAGTGCTCTGGATGTCTCATCCCAGTATTCCTCAGCTAGAGGATTCATCTGAACCCTGTGGCAGTTCCAGCTGAGCCCTGAAGTTTTTCTGCTAGCCCACATGTTATCCTCTCCCTATGCCACAATGTAATGGTCAGTGCCAAGTTCCTGGACAGACAGGACGTCTGCTATCGGGTGATAGGAGATATTTGGTCTTTCTCATGGCCAGTGAGACATTTTTGGGAAAAATTTCCACCTATGGGAAAAGGAAGAGTCTGAAACCAGGCATCAAATACAACCTGCAAGGGGACAGTGGTTAATTTTAAAGTGAGTTTACTGAATATAAACAGTTATGCCCCGATAGTCTTACCCACACCTATGTCTCATGGTAGTATGTTTTCCTATGACTTTGCTGAGCTGGAAAACAGGGAGAAATACTGTGTCATGAAAAAATGGAAGAATAAATAAAATGGCCTGTTGAAGTATAGCCTGACTGCTGGGTAGTCTGGCTTTTGGATGCATGGAATATTTCTGCAGGCAGAATGGTGGAGGTAACTGATGGTCCTGTCTGATTCAGGAGATGATCCAGGGGAGTTTTCTAGTCCTGGTATTGAAAGAATGTAAGAGCTGGACCCAGGACAAAAACCAGTTCCTGAAATGTCTGACTCAAAAGAATGGTCCATGACAACATGCAAGGGTGGATGGAAACAGAGCTACACCAGGGAGAGTGTGAGGAGAAACCTGGGGTATCTGGGTGAGACCTGCTGTGGCTGTGGCTGTGGCTGTGGCTGTGGCTGTGGTGTGACACAAAAGCTCCAGTGCATATATACCAAGGGAGGTCTTGCAAGCTAGCACTGAAACAAGAAACCAGGTGAACATCTAGCTGGCAATTCCCCTGTTCTGGCACAATTCAGAGGTCAGTGGTTTTTGTGTAGTCAAAATA